TTATCATTAGTATTTTTATCACTATTATTATGATTATCATTATTACTATTCATTCGCAAAAGTTTACCCACAATGTTTAACTTTTCGTGACAAAAACAGTTAAGTGTTAAAAGTTCCTGTAGGATTTTAATGAAATTTGGAGCTAATAATGATAGTGCACACACACACACACACACACACACACACACACACACACACACACACACACACACACACACACACACACACACACACACACACACACACACACACACGAATTATGCAGTTTGATCAAAAATAAGTATTATGCAGTACATAGAAATTCCAATAACATGGCTTTATTACTATGTTGGTAGTCGTCTTAAATTCTATGTACTTCCTGTTCAAACTTCCATCTTAACAAGGCCACAACCGTAACTAGTCCTCGGTCGGTCGCTATTGATAACACAGACTAGTTCCATTGTTTGTGTTATTGGAATGTGTTATGTTGGAATCTCTGTTACCGTGTCTTTTGTTTTTTTCTCGCTTGTGTTTTGTGTTTTCGATTCCGTGTCAGGGCTGAATTAACCATTGGCCAAGGTGGTTAGAGTAGGTGGGGGGGAGGGGTTACAGCAGAATTGCCGCCTTGTTAGATGTCAAATTTAATTAAAATCATTTGGTTATGAACGTTTAAGTTGTTGTTTTTTTCGTTGATTTTGTCTCATCTTAATGTTTTGATAAATAATGAGGTGTAAGCCTAAAAAAAAAACTAATATGCTTGATGGTTTGTTTAAATTGTATTATCGCTCACGCCACATTCTGTTATTATCATTTTAAAAAAATATATAATTAACGTACACATTTTCTTTTATTTTCCTGTCTATCATAAATTCTCTATCGATAAATCATGTCTTATAAAAGGCTCCAAAAGGAAAAAAAATATAGCAAATCACTCGGCTGCCACGGAAAAGCGATTCCGGTGATATAAGAGTTGATTGAAACACGGAAGCACAAGATCCAGCTGTAAGACGGAAATTGAATTGTTGGAATGATTCTGCCTATAATATGCCACTGTGTTGAATGCCACTTTTTTATTTTTTTTATTTATGTATTTTACAGATCCCAAGAACCAAGATGATACGCGGTCAGTTAAATGGTGCACAAAAGCGAAAATTATAAAAAAAGAAACAAAAGAAGAGTTTTGAATTAAGAGTCAAGGGCTACATGACTAATTTCTTTACAAAAGTTTTCGACAACATGATGCATCAAAAGTCGACACTAATACCACTTTGATTGCTTCAAAATCTAAGTCTGAATCATCGAGATGTGACAAGTAGGTATACTGAACTCTCTTGAATTCTCTTGATACCTCTATATTGATGTAAATTGCTTTTCTAAACTTTCTGAGGTTGAAAATGAAAGTTTAATGCGTCATGGAGATGGTGGTGAAATGTTTCACTTGCAGAAGATGAAGTAAATATCGTGAAAGAACCAGGGGCTGTGGCTTGATTTCTCTGCTGATGTGATCTATTGGACTGCTTGTGGACCCTGTTACTGTAAAAACCTCTTTGAGTTATTTGACAAGTCTTGTCTTGTCAGTAGTAACAAACCAGTAAGATACTGTTCACAAAAAATTATGTTGGGACAAAAGCCAATCATGAGATATAAAAGTGAGAGAGCTTATTGTATCCAC